TAAGCAGATATATATATATTATTTTTTTTTAATGGTGACAGCAAGTGGACAAGCCTGTTCTGGTGCCCCAAATGCACCTCACTGTGTGTAAATCCTGGATATGGGATTGAGAGGATGAAGGGAGCAGTTGGTTAGTGGGAGTTTAAAGATTGGGGAGGTGAGTGAGGCGAGTAGATGGGCCATGGCCGAGTGGAGTGATGGATGCTGAACATCACTCCCTGGTCTCCTCCAGGCTCTCATGGGTGGAATAGCTGTAGCTGTCTTGCATTCAGGGTGACCTTCTTGGTGCTCCAGCTCTTCGGCCCGCTCACACACGGTGGGTCCCAAAAGAGGAAAAAAAGTCTTACTCATTCCCAGTCTGGTTTTTTAAACACATTTTCCTCCTGGAGGCAGAGTTACTGAGCAAGGCAGATCAGGAGGTGGGTTTGGTTCCAGGGGAAGAACGAATTTGCTTAGATGAGGCTTTGATCCTCCTCCCATCCATGACTCATCTCTCTCCACGGCCTGGCTGGGAGCTCACCTTCCGACAGAGCCTGCCTTGGATTTGGCCTGAGTGTTCTAACATCGTTTTTCCAAGGAGAGGTATCACTGCTCTCAATTTCAGGCACAGCAGGCCAGAGCCATTGCAGATAGAAATTAAACTCCTGCATATCTTGTGGTCTTCTTTTCTGGGATACTTTTGTTTTCTGCATTAATGGCTGTGTGACAGAACTCAGAGGGTTGTGATTAATGGAGCAGGGTCTAGTTGGAGGCCTGTAACCAGCGGTGTCCCCCAGGGGTCAATACTCGGCCCAGTCCTGTTCAACATATTCATCAGTGACCTGGATGAGGGGACAGAGTGTATCCTCAGCAAGTTTGCTGATGATACCAAACTGGGAGGGCTGGCCAACACTCCAGAGGGCTGTGCCACCATCCAGCGTGACCTGGACAGGCTGGAGAGCTGGGCAGAGAAGAGCCTCATGAAGTTCAACAAAGGCAAATGTAAGGTCCTACACCGGGGGAGGAAGAACCCCAGGCACAAATACAGGTTAGGGGTGGATCTTCTGGGAAGTACTACTGAGGAAAAGGATCTGGGAGTCCTGGTGGATGGGCAGGATCTCCATGAGCCAGCAATGTGCCCTTGTTGCCAAGAGGGCCAATGGAATCCTGGGCTGCGTAGGGAAGAGTGTGGCCAGCAGGTCGAGGGAGGTCATTCTCCCCCTCTACTCTGCACTGGTGAGGCCACAACTGGAATCCTGCATCCAGTTCTGGGCTCCCCAGTTCAAGAGAGACGGGGAACTGCTGGAGAGAGTCCAGCCTAGGGCAACAAAGATGATTAAGGGATTAGAGCACCTCCCTTACAAGGAAAGGCTCAAAATGGTGGGGATCTTTAGCCTCGAGAAGAGAAGACTGAGGGGAGACCTCATCTATGTTTACAAGTTCCTAAGGGTGAGATGAAGAATGATGGAGCCGGACTCTCTTCAGTGGTTTCCAGCAATAGGACAAGGGGCAACAGGCAGAAGCTGGAACATGGGAAGTTCCACTCAAATATGAGGAAGAACTTTTTTAGGGTGAGGGTGACAGAGCACTGGAAGAGGCTGCCCAGGGAGGTTGTGGAGTCCCCTTCTCTGGAGATCTTCAAGACCTGCCTTGATGCAGTCCTGAGTGATGTGCTCTGGGCAATCCTGCTTAGCAGGGGAGTTGGACTAAATGATCTCTAGAGGTCCCTTCCAACTCTGTCAAATCTGTGAATCTGTGAACTTTAAGTCGATGGTATCTCTCCAAGCTGTGTAACTGCTCTGTGTGTTCCTTTCAGTCAAATAAAATGTTTACTAAGGGCATGGTAATGCGTTGTTCTCAAATCAGAGCTTTAATTCAGGAATAGCAGAAAATTACCAGTTACCAGCCCGGAGAACTACCTCACAAATTGTAAAGTTTGGTCTTCTAACGTGGTATTTTCTGTAGATAAGGTGATGGATGTCTACTTTGTGAGATTTATGGTCACGTTTTCAAAGCCTGTTTAAGAATAAGCATTAATATAAACACTCTGGAGTTTTAAATAGCAAAATACTGCATTTGGTCATGTTCTTGTTAGTACTTTTTCTTTCATTTTGGTTAATGTGTGTTAGGTGTTTGCAGAATATGGTTTATTTGTGGGCTCTTTAATAATAGAGTATTTCCAGGTGAGCAAAAGTAATATTACCTACAGAAAATATATTGTCGAGGGCAAAACCTGAATGTGTGAGCCATGTGAATGATGTAACCTATTGCCCATGGGTTTGAGAGGTACCCAGTGGCCAGAAGAGATGAACCTGTTTGGTCTCAGCAGGAGGTGTGAGAGGCAACAGTACCTCAGATCCCATTCTGAGAGGGGTTTCACCATAAGTCAACATGAACTGCCCCTTTTTTTGGGCAGGAGGGATGGAGGGCCCAGGGGAGATGTAGAAGATCGAGTATCCCAAACTCCAGTACCAGCCTGACACCGACCAGGTCCTGGCCAGCATTTGGCCCTCAAGTTACGCCAGGGGAGGTTCAGGCTGGATATTAGGAAAAAATTCTTCACTGAAAGGGTTATCAGACATTGGAATGGGCTGCCCAGGGAGGTAGTTGAGGCACCATCCCTGGAGGTGTTCAAAAGACAGGTTGATGTACTGCTGGGAGGTATGGTTTAGTAATGGTGATGCTTCTTGTTTGTTGTGTGGGTGTCTATTTTTGTCAGTTAGGTTGATGGTTGGACAAGATGATCTTTAAGGTCCCTTCCAACCTAGAAGATTCTGTGATCTGTTATTAGTCACCTACCCCACGTCTCAGCTTTAGCCTCAGAGCAAATCCATCGATCACGGTCAGGGTCACCATGAAGGTGATATTAGCACTGGATCGATTTTCTTTTCCTTAAACCTTGCAGGTCTTTCGGCCACGAGGTCCCTAAAATTTGGGTTAGGTAAGAAGCTCAACTGTTGAAAAGTAAAGAACGGGGAGGGACGGACACAGCGGGCTGGAATCTCAGCTTGTGTAAAAAAGGTGTCACTGCTGACTTGAGAGCGATGCCATTTCACACGGGCTGAGGATCAGTCCCCATCAGAGGGTTTCTGCCCTGCATATCTGCCCAGGCCAGGGACCACGTTTGTAGATGAGTTATAATGCCTTCAAATTCCCTGTTTACATTGGAAATAACTTGACGGAGTCTTAAATAAGCACTGCTACCAGGTGGGCTTTTAAGAAAGACGATATTTATAATACGTGTAGTGGCTGTATCTGAACTCAACAGCTTCATGCATTTGTATGACTTCGTGTTTACAATTTTCTCGTGATTTTTAGATGAAATAGAATAGTCGCTAACTGGTCAAATAAACGCAGAATATCTTTGCATATCCTTGCACTGCCAGAGTTTTATGAGCAAAATTGCTTTGTAGTTAAAAGGCGCCTGGGAACAAGCTATGGGGATGGTGTTGAAATTAAAAACAATACTCTTCAAACTATTCCTGTTCTCGTTTGGGATCCCGCTGATGCTCAGCATCCCGACTCTGCGCTCACCGTGCACCTGTGGGACGGAGTGAAATCACCCGGCGATGGGGTGATTTCCAGCCACAGGGTGCTAATTTGTGGTGAGGCTTTTTAGCATCTTGCTGAGATCTTGCTGCTGCCACGTTGAACACTGCTTGGTTTTTTGCCCAGGGAGGTGGTGGAGTCACCATCCCTGGCTGTGTTTAAGGGCCGTTTAGATGCAGTGCTAAGGGACATGGTGTAGGGGAGGACTTTGTAGAGTAGGGTAGATGGTTGGACTCGATGATCCCAAGGGTCTCTTCCAACCTCAATGATTCTATGATTCTATGATCGTTTTATTTCAGATTCACTTCCACCTTCAGGGCCCTAGCTCTTCTCCTCTCCATGGCTCTCCTCCTTCTCAAGGTTGGGTTTCCTGGGGCTGGGTGGACTCGGAGAATTAGGGGGTGCGGTGAGTTTCCGTGCCGTGTAATGTGTGTGCACACCCCTTCTTCCCACCATCACTCACTCAGTCTCATATATATGTGTATTAATCCCCAGGGGGTGACTCTGAGAGGTTGTGCTCCAAAAGCAATCTGTCCCAGATGCTTGTAGAGCCTCATAAGGCTTACAAGGGGACAGTAATTCCCCCTTTGCCATGGGTTGATGGGTTCACACTGCTCATCGTGGCTTTACAAAGGCCCTCAGGGAGCCCAAAAACCATCTGGTCATGGATACTGCACCCGTTGGGGTGTGGGAGGCTCTACCATGGCAGTTACACAGCAGGGTCCTCATAGTGGTTTTTGAATAGATCACTGATGTTTGGATACAGGGAGGTTGGTGGCCCCTATAGCTGGGGCTGGAATGATGCTGGTGGTTCCCTTAACACCATCCTCTCTGTACGACTTACTGTTTGCGTGTTAAATAAAACCAAAAAATATAAGTGAAGACTAAAGTCAACGTTCAGCTTTTTCTTGAAAAGGAAAAAAATGTCATAGCAATGAGAAAATGCTGCTGATGAGCAGATCAGGCTTTCCAGGCTGTGTTTACAGGAGTCGTAGGAAGATCTTTCCTACAAGAAGCCCTATTAACTTCTGTGCATAAACCGTGTCTCGTCTCGCGCGCACGGGTTTGCAGGATTAAAATGGCTTGTAAATGTTAATAGATAACATGTTCAGCCACCTCATAGAGCTTGTGTTTTTCTTAGCTGTGGCGCTGCAGAGTCGTTCTACCTCTATTAAAACGGGTGGAGGGATTTCAAGGTGGGCCGAATGCGTCTCAAAGACTGGTTGCTTAATTAACAGGAGGCCTCCCAGTGACAGCGTTGCAAAACAAACTCCAGCGCTGGCCCGGTGCCTTTTTCCACTTCGCTGGTTCTGCTGCCCACATGTCTCAGCCTGCCAACACGGAGCGTCGAGTGCCTTTTAATAGCTGCTGTTCTTCAAATAATTTTATTACCGTGACAGCAACTTTTATAAAAACGCCTCTTACTGTCCTGATGATACAGAATCGATATATTAACTGCAACTTTTTTTTTTTCTTCCTATCTTTCCCTTCCAGGAGCAAATTCATCAGTTGTTGCTGACTTCATGCCTACATCATCATGGAACATCTCAAGTGAATTAGATAAAGGTAAGTTGGATAAAAAAAAATAAATAGTTGTTATATCAGATTTAAAAATCTCAATTCTTCTTCTCGACTTGGCCCAATTAGCAAGCAAAGAGGTGAGAGGGCACTTAAGATAAACCTTTTTTTGCTTTGTGATCATTTGACATTTGATTATGTGGGGTTCTGTGATTTCTGGAGAATGCTGCATTCGCATTTGATTATGTGGGGTTCTGTGATTTCTGCTGCATTCATTTCTTGGTCTAGTAAAATGTTCCACATGGTAAAAATATTTCAAGATGTGAGTTCGCTTGGTTTATGAACTGCTTGACATTTTGTCTGGTGGATCTTATGATTTGAACTCAAAATTAACAAGCATCAGGCGGTCAGTTTGCCTCAATGTGTTTTATTTTGAAATTTTGAGGCTTTAAATTAAGAGATGGGGAAAATATATTTGCAGGTGGTAATTATGTGTGATTTGGAGCTCTCTGAAGGGTATGTATTGTGATAAAAGGGATGTATTTCTCATTCCCCTTAATTTTGTACATTATGCACCACCAATTATTTAAGCCAAATTGTTTAACCTCCTCTAGCCCTTATTGCGAGGCAGTGGCCTGCAGCTCCTGAGTCAGTCTGACCTTTGAAATGCTCCTAACGTAAGGTTTAGAGTGGTGGATGCTGTTAGCCACACTAACTGTGCAGTTTGTCAGCCACTCTTCTCATTTGCTTATAACTTTGCCAACCATTAACTATTTAGACTGAAATTTCCCATTGTGGAGTTCTGCCACAGATGGTTTTTCCAAATGTTTTTGTCTGTATGTTGTTAACGTGGGTTTTTTATGAACATGTGTTCATAATGTTTTATGTGTAAGCATAAATATGCTTTCTGTGCACAAGTATGAAGAGAATACGTAGTTCTGGGTACTTTAAGGCAAGGCTGACTCTTTCACGTCTGCCTTCCCACCAGGGAAGGAGCAGGACTTTCTGGTGATTCAGGACATGTTGGAGATGACAAAAGTCAAAGGGCTTATGCTTGCTGGTGGGAAAGGGAGAAAAAGTGTGTAGTCATTAAGCAGCAGATTCCTGATTCACAGCAAATTGCTGAAAGAAGGATTTGACAGAGTGGATGTGTTATCCCACTGCAGTGGTTTATCCAAGTGCCCATGGCGGGTCTGTAGGTCTGGCCTGTGCATTGGGAATGTCCCAAACCTGCCAAGGACCAAGGGCAGTGATTCTACCAAACAGGATGCCTCTGTGTTTCTTTACTTGTTTGGCAACTTGCTTTGGTTTTTCAAAATGAAATAAATAAATAAGTGGCATTTACAAGCAACCTTTACTGATCTACAGGGTAGGTTTTTCTCTAGGAACCCACCCCATGGTCACAGGAGAAGACGTGGTTGCACTTCGTAGAAGTGGTTGAAATATTTTTGGCTGCTGAAAGAAGGATTTGACAGAGTGGATGTCTTATCCCACTGCAGTGATTTATCCAAGTGCCCATGGTGAGTCTGTAGGTCTGGCCTGTGCGTTGGGAATGTCCCAAAGCTGCCGAGGACCAAGGGCAGTGGTTCTCATGGCGGGTCTGTAGGTCTGGCCTGTGCATTGGGAATGTCCCAAACCTGCCAAGGACCAAGGGCAGTGATTCTACCAAACAGGATGCCTCTGTGTTTCTTTACTTGTTTGGCAACTTGCTTTGGTTTTTCAAAAAGAAATAAATAAATAAGTGGCATTTACAAGCAACCTTTACTGATCTACAGGGTAGGTTTTTCTCTAGGAACCCACCCCATGGTCACAGGAGAAGACGTGGTTGCACTTCGTAGAAGTGGTTGAAATATTTTTGGCAAATGATCGTTGGTGATATATTCTTTGTTCTCCACTGTGAGCCCAGGGGTTCAATTGGTAGAGCACCCAGAGATTGCTATATATCGCAGGGAAAGTTGTGCACCTCCAGCCAAAACCTAGATAGAGGGAAAGGTACAGAAGAAATAGTTAAGATAATGTCATTTTATGGTAAACTGTATTTGATTTGTGCTGAGAAATAGCCCTCAGTAGTTTCTTTGTTCTTATTCCTAATGGGAGGTTTTGTGTAGACTGGTTTCTTATGGCCAGGGTGATTTTTATCCCATATTTTGGTTAGGCTTTCTCTCAGCTGGCAGTTCAAATGCTCCATTTTTTCCAGTAGCATGTGCCCCAGGTGGGCACTTTCCAAATCCTTGGTGAAACAGGGAGACTCCTGCCTCCTTTGATGTCTGCTTTGTTCAAGCTAGCTCCAGAGCGAGCAGAGTTGAGACTTGGGGTGACTGCCACCATCCTGAACGTTGGGTCATTGTAAACCAAAGCCACACTTATGCTTTTTGTGCCAGCACTGAGCCCAGCCTCTGCATTAAACCATTTCCCCCGTTACTTCCATGGCACCTGCTCCTGAGCTATATTGTCAGAAACAGGTAAAATGAAGTTTCACGCTCTTAATCCACCTGGAATGCGGCAATTAGGACTGGTTGGGCTGAATCCTGCATTCCTGGGGGATTACCGGCCCCTTTGCTCGACCTGATTAGCATTTAGACTGCTGTAAGCTTACACACCTAAACGTGGATTTACATATGTGATTAAAATGCATTTGCTGCCCAAAAAGCTTAGTCAGAGGGGCGGATTCTCCCGGTGTGCCTACGAGCAAGGTAACGCACACACGTTTTGTCTTGTCTGAAAGAGAAGCAGGGGCTTTAATGTGGGAGCCATTGGTTCCACTCAAGGTCTTTGAACCTCTCGCTTGTAGAAAGCAAAATCCACTGTGGCACATGCCGACCTGGGGAGGCGAAACCTCAGAGGGGAAAATTAGGCACGCACTTCGTTTCCATTTCTTTTGCAAACAAGCATCTCAAGAAATCAACATATCCACTTGTCCTTGCTGCAGTCAGCCGTGAGGTCACGCAGGCGTCACGGTAAAACTCATTTTAAAGCCTATTAAGTTCACCACATGAAAGTGGTTTCCAGCCAGATTTCCCAATTAAATGGCTGTCCGCATGAAGTGGCTCTAAACTCTACCTGCTGCCTTTTGGAAATGAGCATCTCTTCCTCGGATCTCTCTCCTCTCTTTGGGAAGCAGGAACACCTCACAGTCTTGGTAAACAATATTCTGCATTTTGAAATAATTGCTTAATATGGTACTTTCCTTAGCTCGGTGAGTTGTGCAGTGATTATCTTACAACTGAGCCCTATTCAGGTTTCAATTTCTATTAAATAAGCTAAATCGACAGCATTAAACAGTTGCCTGTTTATTCTTTTTAACAGGAAATGAATTTAAAAGAGACGCAGCCACCCGTGAAGAGCTGTTGAAAGCAACGATTGATGGGAGGGAGGAGGTGGTTTCTCACCATAACCTTAAAAAAACAAACAAACTGCGCATAAAAAATAAAAAAATAATCATTTTTAAAATGGGAGAAATTTAGCTATGAGCATTTCTCTCTTTTCTGACTGGTAAATCACGGCGTGCGGAGGGAATGCCACGAGGGAAAAAGAGAAATGAAAATTTGATCCAGTGAAATATTTAATTATGTAAGGAGAAATAAGTGAACTTGAGGGGAAAAGAAGGGGCTCTGGTGGTAGGAAAAGGCCTGTCTCACGGGGTCAGTGGCAGAATGAGAAGGCTTTCACCCCCAGGTTGCTAGCGGAGATTTCCTCGGTGGGCAGGAGATGTCCAGCAGGGACCTTGGCTCTTTGGAGAAGGTCCTACACGGCCTTGTAGGCTCCCAACGCTCGCCATGGCACAGCCATTCCCTCTTGGTGGCTCAAAGCAATTTCCTTATCCAGAAATGGTTTGCCATCAGCTGCAGCTATAGGTGGTATCCGAGGCAAAACAAAAAAGGCCAGATGAAGTCGGGAGTAAGCAGAGTTCACGGGGACACTCTACCCTGGTGCTGGCATTCAGGGTCCATGCTCCATTTGTTCCTTAATGTGACTCTTTTTTGGGGTGCACCAGCAAGGCTCCCTTTCTCCTCCCTGTTGTTTAAGGCACTCTAGTTTCTCTTTTCTCTTTGCTTGTGCCTTGCCTTCCCTCTCTCTTACACCAAGGGACAAGCTCCTGCTCTGGCTCTTTGTTTGAGAAACCTTCTGATTTACCATGAGCTCTTCTTTTCCCCGATCCTAGTTCAAAAAGGCGAAGAGCCCTTCATTCACCTGCTTCTCTTCCACGAAAATGATTGTGGATGGATAGGCTTTTCCTTCTGTCGGATGTTGGTTTATTTACAAAGAAACAGATAGGCCTACATTTGAATGAGAGCCTATTTACATCTGGTACACCAGAGGAATTGTTTGGGAACTCTTCATCCTCAGGCAAAGATAATATTGGAGTCTCTGCCAAGAAAAAGTCAGCTTTGAAATATTGTTTTCTTTCAACTGTAAGTCGAATTCAACTTTGGTGAACGTTCACCGGAATAGGATTCTCTATGGGATTGATAAGAGAATGATGCCATTGCTGTGGCTCCTCCTCATCAGGTCCTCCCTGGTCCCCTCATGTCCAACTGCAGCCGCCTCAGGAGCTCGTTCCACCATGGCAGTGCTCAAGGATGTGTCCTGGCCATGGTTGAGCCAGAGCCAAGGACACCAGTGCTGGGGTGCAGGATGTTATCACGTTGCTGGTACCTCCTCCCAGGAGCTCTTCCCTTGGTCCTTCCAAAGAAAACTGATTAACGTGAGTTTTAGCAGATTGGGCCTATTTTCCTTTCCCTTTTCACAGCCTGTCTGCTTTGGTAAACAAGTATGAACTGTTAGAATGAGCCAGGGCTTGGCAACCATTTTCATTTCCAGAGATCCGTGATCCCAAGCCCAGACTTGGAGCTTCCCACTGCGTACAGCCACTCTTGTGTGGCATAAACCCTGTGGTCAGTGCTGTGGCAGCACTTTGCAGTCTCCTCAGTCTCTTGGTGTTGTACAGAAAGCCATCGTTCCCCAGGATTTCACTAAATGAGCCCCAAATCGGTCAGTGGTTTAAGGTTAAACTGGGATTAATCCTGAAGTATTCAAGGGTGGAGACA